AATGCCAGTGGTAGCCAGCCCTCCACCGCTCCCCAGGAGCAGTCTGCCAGCTCGCAGGAGCCTGACAGGGGCTGGAGAAGGCGGACACCTTCCTGGTCCAGAGTGGAGATCATCGACCTTATTCAGGTTTGGGGGGGATGCCCCCACCTTCCATGATCTCAGCCCTAGTCGGAGGAACACAGCCCGGTGGGGAGGAATGGGGCACGATCCCCCGGTGGGGAGGAATGGGGCACGATCCCCCGGTGGGGAGGAATGGGGCACGATCCCCCGGTGGGGAGGAATGGGGCACGATCCCCCGGTGGGGAGGAATGGGGCACGATCCCCCGGTGGGGAGGAATGGGGCACGATCCCCCGGTGGGGAGGAATGGGGCACGATCCCCCGGTGGGGAGGAATGGGGCACGATCCCCCGGTGGGGAGGAATGGGGCACGATCCCCCGGTGGGGAGGAATGGGGCACGATCCCCCGGTGGGGAGGAATGGGGCACGATCCCCCGGTGGGGAGGAATGGGGCACGATCCCCCGGTGGGGAGGAATGGGGCACGATCCCCCGGTGGGGAGGACTGGGGAGGCTCCTCGGGCTCCTTGGGGTGAACTCTCTCCCGCAGGGCCCCCTGGATCCTGACAGCCCCTCGATGGCTCCCCCGGATGGCAGCCTGCAGCAAGTGCAGCCGGGCTGAAGGCAACATCCCCACAAGATACACCAGCAAGCCCAGGGGCAACTCTGACTCCATGTGGCCGAGTGCTGTGATGTGCCAAGTGTGGGCACTCAGGGCACTCCAAGATAAGACTGCTTTGTTCTCCCTCATCAAGGTAGACAAGCAAGTGGGGAACCCTGAGAACTGTCTGTCCGGGGTGGGGGTCAGGTCCCTTTAAGCACGGAGCTCAGTTAGCCTGGGACAGCAGCCCCAATCACTAAGTCCTAACCTGATGCCCTGCCGGCACTTGTTTCGGCCAGCCTTAACTTCGGTTCAGGGTCCACTCATTGTGGACGCGCTATTTTGAAATAGTTTTGGTGTATAGATGTGTTACTTTGAATTAGCTTAATTCGAATTAACTATTTAAAATTAATTTAATATGAAATAGTGCTGGAGTGTAGACATACCTTACCCTCTCTCTCTCTCTCTCTCTCTCCCCCTTTCGGAGCATTCATCCTTTATACATTTAATACACATCTCTTTATGCAAAGCTTGATACTGTATGAACTATTTTTAACAAAATTTAGCTTTTTTTGTAGAATTTTGTAGAATTCTTTTCAATAAAATTCTCTGCTTCATTTATCTATACATAAACTTTACTGCTCAATTCCTAGGAAAGACGAATATGAGGTGGCCGTCCCCGTGGAACCTCGGGAGGCCAATCACCTAACCCAACCAGCAGTAGGTGGTAGATAGATGCTCAGAGTAAGTGTGCTACTGGACCCATAGGGGCTCGTATCCCCTTTATACCCATAGGGGCTCGTAT